TCATAAGGAGTACTGACGAAAGTTGTCGCAAGAACAAAAGCAGTTTCACTGCGTGTTTGACATCCTAACACTACTGAACAATAAAGAGGTGTGAATATTTTTAGGCACGTTGTCGAAACAAATGAATAGGATTAGGAACAATGTACCAGCTGGTTGAAACCAAGTCAGTCACGGTCTTGTTGAAGTGGGGGTGCGGTTAGTAATAAGTACTTTTCATGTTTTCAATTTTTGTTGAGAACTCTTTAACACTGAAGCCGAAATCAGGGGTGCGGTTACTATTAGGTATGCGGTTTATAATAGGATTTTAACGGTAATATACTCCACCTTGATGTTTAATCAATTAAACAAACTGAACTTAATTAAAAAAGTTATTTGTTTATTTTTTATTGGCACCCAGATTATCCATGCCGAAGGTGGGACCATATTAGGACAATACGACACAGGATTCAGCAGTGACGGGTCAGACTCCACGTTCCGAGTAATGTTTAAAGAACCAATAGAAATCACTCCTAATATCAGTTACATTGCCTGCGCCACTTTGAAGGTAAGTATAAAAAAAGATGATTTGTAAGTTATTTCAGTGTAGCCAGTCTGCTTTTGGAAAGGTACCTGGGCCCAGCCATCTTTGAGTTTAGGCTATATGATCAATTTCCTGGGAAGGGGGTGTGGTTAAGTCGGGCATTGTGAAACGTGTTATGGTTGTAATGTGATAATAAGTGTATGAATAATTGCTATTACTTGCTTCCCGCTCAATGCGTTTTGTGAAATAAATACAGTTCATCCATAGAGTTATGACTGTTATCTGCTATACTCATTTAGAAGTTTGTGTGATGCCAACACGTAGTGCGTATACTGTTTAAATTTTATTTGGACCCGACTAATGAAATACCATACATAATCTGACAGTGGAACATGGCTGGAAATCTTTCTCTTTCTATATGCTAATGTTATTGGCTGCCCTCTCAACTATGACATTCAGGCCCAAAAATAAGTAATATTTTAATAATTCAATATACAGTGAAATCTGTCAAAAGCGACCCCTAGATAAGCCGACCTACTGTCAGAACCGACAAATTTATTGAGCTCCAAAATTTCTTCATAGATGTTTATGTTAAAACAACCTGCAAAATCTGAATGACGACTATGGTAAATTGATTGATCGCAAATCCAATATTCACATCTACTGCATCGACCAACCAACCAGTTGTATCACATCTGCTGTCTAGTCATCTGGTCCTCTGAAAACTGACCATAATTCCAGTCCAAGCCATGGTCGATTTTGACAAAATTTACTGCACTACAAGTTTGATTTTTGGTAGGTAGCATTGACTAATTTGTTTTCTTTGGTTGGATTTCATAGGGACCAGACTCTCACTACGGTGCCAAGGGAATGCGTAAAGTTGTCCATGAGTCACCAAATGGTGGTAAGGTAGTCTTCCAGTTCACATATGCCGCTGGGAATAACAACGGAACATCAGTTGAAGACGGACAGATACCTGAAATAATCTTCTTCACCTGATGTGCAAACCTGATCGTCATCTCACTTTCACCCTTGTGCTGTCGTAGTGTTACACTATACAGTTCCATGTATGCTGGGCTATCAATTATTACTTCGTTACCATGGTTATAATCTACTCTGCCATATCCATTTATTTCCACATCATTACAGAGTTGATACTTGGTGTGTCATTCACGAGAAATATTCAAGAAAAAAATTATCAAAAAAACAACAGCTGCAGTAACTATACATACAGATAGATTGGCGATTGGTGTATTTTGAAAATATCTGTGCATAAATGTTATCCATTACTGAATTAGTTGATGATAAACTTTGCAACATTTGATAGTAAATTTACGGCTTGTCTGCGTCTCCCATTTACCTTCTTATCTCCATCTCGACTCATTCTGTGGTGCGATCGTCTCATTCAACGTGATGGGGACCTATCACAGGTAGTCATGTAGCACCAAGAACTTGATCGTTTGAGCGACAGTAGTCTACTGTCGCTCAAATTTTTACTAAATATACCGCAAAGTGTTCAAGAAAAGCGTTTTCAGTTTATGGTGTATCATAGCCCAACCTATTCATTGACATACAGTAAACAACAATAATAAAAATGACATATTCTCATCCATATTACATATTCAAGGAAACCAAGAAGTTTTTAAATTAATATTGGTTGGTTAGACTGATATATTTGTGCATGTGACATAACTTGGAGTTCTAATTGGTCGGTTCAGATATGTAAATTGTACCTTTAATCTTTTCACCACCAGTTACCTCTTGTCATTGCAAATTCATAAAATAGTCCGTGGTTATAGTCTGCAGAAGATTGAGACAAAAATACTCAATTTGTTTGAGAAAAAAAATGAAAATTGACTTAAATTATGTCTGTTGGCTCCAAAATTAGGGTTTATTTCCAGAAATATTGAAGATTATAAGAAAAATCGGCAAGGAAGTCTAGTGGTAAAAAGGTTAATAATGGTGACTGAGATGAAACAAAATGTTGCATTCAGCCAAAGGAGATACTTATAGTTGAAATCGACCATTATCTTTGTTGGGGGTGGGGGGGGGGTGCGGGGTGACTAGCACAGAAAATAATGTACAAAATGCGAGAAGGTGATTGTCCGTCAAATGTTGAAAGTTCTTCGCTAGATATATTCTAATTACTGATTTGTGTATTCATGGTTTTTTGGTGGCAGACGATTTTTAATGTACATGTTCTCATGGATGCTGATTGATATTCGATTTGTAAGTTCTACAAGAATATTTTTTGTGGCCTTCCATAAGTGGATGAACAGTTCTTTTAGTATATTTTGAATTCACAATGAAATATATTTGAAATTGGGTGTTTTATTTTTGAACCAATCAAAACACTTCTTACATGTATGAAACAACAGTAGGTAAGACGGGAATACAGAGAAGAAAGGTGGAAATGCATTCATTGTCTGTACATATTCTGTTATGCCTTGGGAAATATGAAAATATAGGTGGTTTTAGTAATAAATGTGGCCTTTTCTGTCCATACGTTCGTCTGTCTGTGGTGGTATTTATGCCTAGCAATATTCATTGTACTGTATTTCCCTGTGAATTGCATGCCTTTGTGTAACTTCCTTTAAAGAAGTTATTTAACTGATAGCAGCGTTTATTTGGTACGCTTCTATTGCAGCCAGAATGAGCTATTCGGTTTGCGAATGTGCTTTCTTAACCGAGCATGATTGTCAGTCCACTATCCTGTAAATTCATGATAAGGTGTTAGATCAATACAACATGATTGCATCAGCGTCTTTTATCAGCATTCATGCTTTTCTGAAATTTGGACTTTTTTGTTTCTCTTTATACTTTGTCTTTACCTCCTCAATTCCCTCGTTTTATTGCATACACCTGTCACAAAGATGTCATTCTTTTTTTTCAACATATGTACATTTTAAAGATTGGCCAGACCCCTTAAATAACTTGCCCAGCTTTTTTCCTTTTGATAAAATTCATTAAGCAAAAATACGTAATGCCAAGGGTCTCTATTTGGCTCATTATACCTTGGCAGAATTCCCACTATAAATCTAGGTTCGCTGTTGATGAAATTAAACACTGCTGTCTGTTCTCTGTTTTTTGAATATCCATGGAAATTTGAATATAAAGTCGCATGTTTTTTCAGGTAAGCTGTATCTTGATATACTGTAAGAGAACAAAATTGATTGATTTGAATTGTGACCGGAATACTGATTGAGGAAGGTAGCTCCTTGGCGCACTCAATCAAATCATTCAATTTACATGAGGTCAAATGCACCTTTTTCCAACACGATCATGTACAGGTTCATAGAGATGGCTGTGAATGCTCAGTTTCAGCGAAAAACTTATTTACTGCAGACACTTGGATCTTGTTTTTTGGTATCGTGAATAACTACAAAATGAAACTTTTAAAAGAAAATGTCCCCCAGCAATCTCTTGAAAAAAAATAATTTGATGAGCACAGAATCTGAGGGAGAGCTATTTTTGGGGTCTGGCCTTGACACTTTGATGAAAATAAAAATGGCAACAGCTGTCGGCTCTCCTACTTTGTTATGTTCCAACAAGGAGAGGAACTCTGTTAGCCATAATCAGCAGATCAGTATTTTTTCCAGTTGACAATACTTGTAGCACCTGTGACAAGGGCGAGTAAAATTTACATAAAGTTTTAAACATGTTGGAAAATATTGTTTTTCACTATTATTGTAATATTTGAATGATTTTTTTGTGTGCATACTATTTGCACATGTACTTGTTGCTTTACGCACAACTTATTTTGAATTTAATTTTGATTATCCCCATGGTAATGAAATGTTATTGGTGTGGATTTTTCGATTCAGAGGGTGGAGAGAATCTTCATAACGAACATTATATGAGACCCATAATTATAATTTAAGTTTTGTATCTTTTATATTTAGAGGGGGTGCAATTTAATTTTGTTGTTGTTGAATGATAGAGGTTTTGAAGCAACCATCTCGAACATTGGAAACTCTTTGAACATTATTGTTATGATTTGTTAATCCAGTATGATGCATTCTGGGAAACATTTTTTTTTTTTCATTGCATGGGGAATATTATAGTTATAAGTTATTTTGTTGATGTCTTATTTTTTTTAGGGAGTCGGATTTGGAAAGATGTACATTGATTTGAATTAACTGATTTGTTGTGTGTGGATGAGGGTCAGATTTGAATTTTCAAATGTCAGAAGAAATGACAATTTTCCAAATGTTTTCCCACCATGCTTATTTTGGTATCTTTGCATAGTTGGTTTTCCCCAAACTAGATAACAATTGCTCAAAATGATCCCTTGAATCGGAGAACCATATGAAAATAACCAACTTAAATCAGTCACAAACCCCTTCCTAATATGGTAATGCTGGAAAAGGATGGAGAGAGGCTATGTTGATATCAAATAAAAAAAAATCTGTCAAAAAAAATGTACAATTTAATTCCACTGGAATTTGATTTCACTATTTTGATGTTTTGAGTAATTTCGCTCGGTTTCAGGTTGACGAACTTGGCAGGGGAACAATGAGCTCTATTGTTTTTCTGAATGTTCACATGGATGCAATCGAGTGAATTTTAATTATCAAAAAATAGCAAAATTAAAAACTGGTGAACAATTAATACATTTACAGTAGTCTGTATGGTGGGTGGGTGGGTGTGTGAGAAAAATGTCTTGGTGTGCGGCTGAAATATTACACTGATTTTAAAACAAAAATGAACCATTTATCTGCCTCAAGCTTGCAACTTCTCCCTCCTCTCAGTAATATTGACTGACCCTTTGTGTGTTTCAAGAAATGAATCTTTTCATTTAGTTGGGTTTTTAACAATTGTCCAGTATATGATACTGTGTTCGTATTTACGCTGTTGAGTGCACAGGCAGCTATGTTATGATTATGCTGATATGCTAATTATGATTAATAAACAGAATGTTAAATTACGCAAGTGTTTTGTGCTATATCATCACATGGCCTTGCCCTATATATGAAAGGAAGATGATGCTAAAGTTAGCCCCTGATTCAGGTTCGGATTGGAATTACCAGTGAATTTGAATTTGAACATGCAAATGAATCCGTATACAGGGCATGAAAGTCTGTGTTTTTGCGAATGCGGTGAAAACTTCACGGGAGTCGGCTCGCAGCTAAGTCGGAGCTTGTGAGCACGCCGCCAACGTCACGATTGAAAATTTCGACTGGAAATTGATGTTACTCGTATCCGGTCCGGGAATCCTTAAATACCAACGTTGTGAACTAAAACACATATGCATTAGAACACCATAATTATTTACGCTAATATGTTTTGCAGAATGAATCGCAATTTGCAAAATAAACGTGTCCCTGAACGCTCACTATTTGGTTGGGATTGGTCAGTTACTTCGGCCTAGGGGGGTCGGCAGATTCCATTTTGCCAGCTGAAAATCTCAGTTGACCCACCCCCTATCAAATAAAAAAAAGTGGGTGACTCCCCCAC